TCTCCATGTGGCGACGCTAAGGGTCGCACCAGCTACAGGCGCCAGTAAATAGGCGAACAATAATTGCTATTAGCATAGGACCGACCGGCGGCGACAGGTGGGGGTTGCGCCCGTGACCCGGCGTCACCGCCGCCACGACCGAGACCGTCAGGCACAGCTGCTCCCCAGCTCATCAGACGACACAGGCCGGCAATGTCCTGCTGAGATGAGGCATGCTTCTCAACAACGAGTCCATTAAACACATGAAAAGTTCCAACCGCTTGGCATTCTAATAACTGTTCCATCCATAACCATGGCGGCCGCAAAACCTCCGGTGCTTACGATGCTGCCTGCGGCGGTCCCGGTCGAGACCCACAGCATAGTGTCAGCTCTCTCGCTCCTCTGTTCTCTACAGTCTAATGTGAGGACGTGCGCAGGTCATCCTTCCCGCTAACCTGTTCCTCGTTACAATTGCGTTGATTTTTTTACCTGATCCCTGTGAACTTTCTCAAGCCCCACAGGATCCCTATGAACCCTTTTTGGTCCCCGTCTTATCTCGCTAATTTCTCTAGATTCCGCCTGATACTGCTGAAGCTTCCCGGTCCCCACCGAATCTCCATGAACTTTTTTTGGGCCCCGCGTGCTCTCGCAAAACTTTTTCCAGATCCCGCCTAATCCCTCTGAACTCTCTGGGACACCATCTGATCCGGCTAAACTTCTCCAGACGCGCCTGATCCCGATGAACGTCGCGACGGTCCCTGTGGACTGAAGCCGCTTCCGCCTGGTCCCCACACGGCACACCGTCGCAACACTTGCCTTCCCACGCAATTCTCGACATCAAGCCCGATTGCACTCAGCACTGACGGGCGCGGCTCAGCGACCACCGGCTGCGGCCGAACACCGCCACCGGCCACCGGGGACAGCCAGCCGTAACGGCCAGCAGCCCCGCCCCGTCCCGCTCCATGCTGCCCCGCCTGAGCCGGCCCCGGCCGAGGCCGGCTGATTGAGGCCGGGCGCTCTCCCGCCGTCTCCTCCTCAGCGACCACCGGCTGCGGCCGAACACCGCCACCGGGGACAGCCGTAACAGCCAGCAGCCCCGCCCTGTCCCGCTCCATGCTGCCCCGCCTGAGCCGGCCCCGGCCGAGGCCGGCTGACGGAGGCCGGGCGCTCTCCCGCCGTTATCGGCGCCATGGTTCGACCGACCCAGTAACTCGGCGCCACACCCGGACGCCGACCTCCGACGCCGGCTCCTCCTGTCGGTGAGTGCCGAGCCCGCCAACGTCCAACTCCGGCTCCTCCGGTCGGTGAGTGCCGAGCCCGCCGACGCCCGACGCCGGCTCCTCCGGCCGGTGAGTGCCGAGCCCGCCAACGTCCAACTCCGGCTCCAGGCTCCCCCCAGCCGGTGAGTGCCGAGCCCGCCGACGTCCAACTCCGGCTCCTCCGGCCGGTGAGTGCCGAGCCCGCCGACGTCCGACGCTGATTCCTCCGGCCGGTGAGTGCCGAGCCCGCCAACATCCGACGCCGGCTCCTCCGGCCGGTGAGTGCCGAGCCCTCCGACGTCCGACGCCGGCTCCTCCGTCCGGTGAGTGCCGGGCCCGCCGACGTCCGACGCCGGCTCCTCCGGCCGGTGAGTGCCGGGCCCGCCGACGTCCGACGCCGGCTCCTCCGGCCGGTGAGTGCCGAGCCCTCCGACGTCCGACGCCGGCTCCTCCGGCTGGTGAGTGCCGGGCCCGTCGACGTCCGACGCCGGCTCCTCCGGCCGGTGAGTGCCGAGCCCTCCGACGTCCGACGCCGGCTCCTCCGGCCGGTGAGTGCCGAGCCCTCCGACGTCCGACGCTGACTCCTCCGGCCGGTGAGTGCCGAGCCCGCCAACATCCGACGCCGGCTCCTCCGGCCGGTGAGTGCCGAGCCCTCCGACGTCCGACGCCGGCTCCTCCGGCCGGTGAGTGCCGGGCCCGCCGACGTCCGACGCCGGCTCCTCCGGCCGGTGAGTGCCGAGCTCGCCGACGTCCGACGCCGGCTCCTCCGGTTGGTGAGTGCCGAGCCCGCCGTATCCCAGCACGTTCGTTCCCAGTGCCGCTGGCTCTGCACGCCGGACTCGGCGGCCAGCTTGTGGACTTGGGACGGCTTGCACCACTCAAAATACGCAAAGTTACCAAAATGTGGAAGATTGCACAAAAGCCCAGGTATCGAAACCGCAGTGTTAACATGACCAAGGGAATAAAACGCCAAATGTTGCATATGATACGTCACATAGCAACAGCCGATTCCAAAATTATCCTAGCTAAGCGTGCTCTATTTGTCATGATCGTTGGGAGACCGACACAATTATAATAAATCATACTACCAAGAACTAACTTATGTTCACATCGTACGGACACTTCCAAAAACCTTACTTTTAAAATGACTGATCACAGTCAGAATGGCTAATTTCATTGAAGGTATGTCTTCAGCTAATCTGTGGCCAGGCCGTGATATGAATGAAACCAGGATGAAGGGGCACTGAGAGTGTCCCGCATCTTGCCGCCATCGACATGCGTCCCAGTATTTGACCTCGCTGTTCTAGCATTATCCGCTGCTACTGAAAGTTGCCCATCTGTTGCACTGCACGGCCCTGGCAGTCCAGGCGTCCCAAAAGCCCAACAATCAGTCAAAAGCTACTCACCATAACCCAGTGCATTATACTGCATTATTTTGAAAAAGGTAGTAGGTTGCTTCATTTCAAAAAGGCTAAGCTCATTGCATGTCCCAGCACACATCACTTTTCGTCGCTTGTTATTCACGCGTCCAAAATGTAAACCGTGAACTCTACATTTCCCGCTGTCCAAATTCCGCGGAGGTTACTTGACGCAAGCGCATATGATTAATTCACGTCCGATTCCTGGCGCTCCATTCCATTTCCCCGATCTTCAGTTCCCCGCTGCTGTTGCCATAGTGACGCGAGCCGACACGATAGTTTCGTTTGCGGCCCAGGCGGGGCTCCCGACTGGGCCGGCCGGCCGTCGAGAAGCGCGGCCGGCCCGCAGTCGGATCGGCCTCTCTCCGCCGCTGGCGCCGCCGCCTCTCCGGGCCATTGAGCCAGCGGCGGCGGCCGCCGCCGGGTCCCGCCGCCATTTATCCCCCCTGACATATACGCGAACGCAGCCGGATTAATCAACTCCAACCGGCCTTTTAAACTGATTAGAGCCGGCCGTGATATCTGGAGGAGCCGGCCGGCCGGCGGAGACGGCGCGCCGCCCGTCACCGGCGGCCAACTTCAGCACGGCCGCGGGGACGGCGGCCACCTCGTCACTCCGGCCGGCGCCGCCTGCGCCTCGGCCGCTGGCGACAGCCGTCCTCAGGGAGGTCTCAGTCTCCGGCCGCGTCCGCCGCCGCTGGCCGACGCGCCCCGGCCGTCGCCGCCAGCTCCGCACCAACCGCCGCTGGCCGGCAATCCCCGGCCCTCACCGCCAGCTCCGCACCAACCGTCGCTGGCCGACGCGCCCCGGCCCTCACCGCGAGTTTCGCACCCACGGCCGTGTGCCGCGCGCCCCGGCCCTCACCGCCAGCTCCGCACCAACCGTCGCTGGCCGGCGCTCCCCGGCCCTCACCGCGAGCTTCGCACCCATCGCCGTGTGCCGCACGCCCCGGCCGCGGATGCGTCGGGCACACGCAATATCGATTGCGGCCGGCGGCCGCTTGGCGCCGCCTTGTCTGTCATTACACGCACACGGCGTGGCCAGAAGGCGGCGGTCGAGGTCGGCGACGGGTCGGCAGCGACGCGACGCGACGCGAGGCGAGGCGGCGGCGGCGGCGCCAGCGCCACCCACACCGCCCCCGACCACCGGCTCCTGGAACGGGAGACCACCGGGCGCCGGCCGCCCATTTGCCAATCAGAGTCATCCCGCATGCTAATTCGCGGCTAGCTGATGGGGATGCATAATGAGGGCACGCCCGGCCGCCCGGGATTCACTTCGCCGCGACGTTTCTGCTTACACGATTCCGGTGCGGCCCTGTGATTGGTTTTGAAGGCACCCGCGTGTTAAGATGTCGCAATCCTGCCGGCGGCCGCCGCCGCGGCGCCGCACATCGCCGTCGTCGATCACGCGCACCGGCAAACGGCACGCGCTGTGCCCCCGCAGCATCAGCCTTCGGCTCGCGATGCGCACGTCGCACGTCTGAGGCCGACTTTGAGGCCAGTCAGGTCTGCACGAGCGACGGTATTTATAACGCCATCATCAGGTATAGGTGGAGCTGAAGTCAGCTGCATATTTTCAGCCAGAGCTTGGCTTTCCGATATTTTTAAGCGCCGGCACGCTCACCGACAACTCGGCATTGCATATCGATCAATTGCACGCGGCCCGCAACTGGAATAGCGCAATCCCGACGCACGTGGATGGCGGCAATGATACATGGTCGCGAGTCATCACGATACGGCAAGCGCTGGTCTTAAGTTTTGTGCGCATCCGGGATCTACAAGCGCCGCTTCGACGCTGCCTGCAGTATTCATAGAGCCCGGCCGGCGTGTGGCGCCGAGCGGCGTTCTGGCGCCCCGGCCGTCAGCAGTAGGTCACCGGAGACGGCTCCAGGGAGGCTGACCGGCCGGCCGGGATCCTCCCAGTCGCCGCCGCCGCGTCAGCAGCGCCGACCCGGCTTACGAGCCGCACCAGCCGCCGGCCGTCCCGGGCTCGTCTCGGCCGGCGGCGGCCCCCCGCGGGACGCATTTGGCCGTCGTCCTCCGCGCTTTTACGGCCGTCGGCTTATCGTAAGTAGCCGGCAGAGGCGACAGACAGCAGAATTGGATTCGACCGGACCGCGGTCGAAATCACCTCTAATCTCGGCGACTGGGTCCAGGAGACAGCGAGACCAGGCGTCATCGTCCTTCGGTCGCCGTCGGCGGGACAAGTGACGGCAGCGCCACCTCGCCACGCGCTGAAGACTAGTGGCGACATCACACGGCCATCGGGCGAACAACCGGCCTCACACGCCGCTCGGGTCCGCCTGCAAACCCCCGCCGGCGCCGCGCCAAGCCGACGACTGACCTTCAGCTGGTTGCAGGGCGTCTTGAGCGCCTGGGCGTCCTGCCTGGCACCGAGCCGGTCCACCTCGCCGTCGATGTACTCCAGCTGAGACTCGGTCTCCGACATCCAGGCCGAGAAGCGCTCCAGCGCCTGGTCAAAGTTGGAGAGCGACGACACGGCCGAGTGGAGGCTCTTGCCGCGCGCGATAATGCTGCGAACAGACGGGACGGGCTGCTGTGAAAGTCCCGCACAACAGCGTCACCACGTGGAGGCACTAATGCTACCATCACACGCCACCATGTGTGACTTGTCAAAGGACGTGTCTCGGCATTGCAGCTGGAGAGAAGGGATGAGTGTCGGTCATCGGGCAATATTTGTCTAAAGTCTATGTTGGTCATGCAGCCAGTTCTTGCGGGGACCGCGCGCGCCCACTTGACCCTTCGCCGCCGTTGATCCCCGTGGCCTTATGTCCAGGTTACTAGCGAGCCTCGGGGCACATGACGGGGGCGTTACCTAGCCCCACGACGCCGCATCGAGACCAGGCTGGCGCAAACACGGTGGAATCTGACACTATTTACTTATAACACGAGTTGTTACTGCTCATCACTGCCTGTAGGACGCCTCCTGCACCGTGAGATGAAAGGCGTGCTAACAGACGTGGGTATTGCTAAGGCGCAAGCAATACGATAGTAGGCCACGTCGCCTTTACGAGCTGCACGAATAGGTTTTATGCGTCTGAATTGCCCAACTTGCATTGTGTGAGCAATGGCTACCTTCTGGCCTAGTGAACCGTTGGTAATTTCCATAAAAAACTTGAGGAATCTGAAATAATTAAGTTTTGCATGACAGCGACCAACTTTCTCAGGAAACAATGTCTATTTGGCTAGAGATTTGTTACCATGACTTGTGCCGCACCACAACGCAGTTTGCGTGGCCCAGCTTTCTCAGTTTTCGCCAAAGCATGCTGCACTTGGGCTTCGTTTATTAAGTGGCGGGATTGACCACTTGCCCATACATCCTTGGCGCACCCATGGGCAGTGAGTGTTTCAATCGCCAGCGATGTGTGCGGTTCATTCCTCCTCACCATGGTTTGAAAAAGATCTGACACACATACACAACATCACAAACATCACAGAGCGGATGGATCCACCGCCTGCGTTTGAAAGCGGTCGACCGGCTATATATATATATATATATATATATATATATATATATATATATATATATATATATATATATATATATATATATATATAATGTACCGATCCACACTTCAGCCAATACGCTCGTCCGTTCCATCCTCCGCTAAAAAGTATTCGTTCCTCGTGCCTCTGCGACGCCGGGCCGTTGACGTACCGTCCAATGGGCTGTACAGTTATAATGTAATGCCGTACTGCTGCAGGAGAAGCACGCCTCAGCGGAGTTTGCGCGCACAATAACTTCAGAGGCACCGCTTGAAAGGAATTGTCTTCGTTGCTTAAAAAACCGCATACCGGTACGGCCACTGGTTAGAGAGACGTAAGCCAGTCCAACGCGTGGCTGCCCAGGGCGGGCCCGGATGACAAAGCCGCAGACCGTGCGGTTAGCTGACGTCACAAGTCTCACTGGTCCTGCGGTGTCGCTCGCAACCAGGCCGCCGAACCGTCACAAACAGGGCCGAAGCACGCACGCCGGTTAAGGCACCAGCATGATTATCTCATCTACTCGTACCATACAGCCCAGCGCCTCATGGGACCGGCTATTTGAAACCATGCGCTGCCATTTTGTTGCTCGGCGAAGACAACGAAACGGCTCGGAGCTACAGGCGCAACCAGCGCTTTCCATTTCGCACACAGCGCCAGCGTATCGAAAAAACCCAGGCATTTCAGAAATGCACCACACCGTACCACCGGTACCACTGGTTAAACAACACCAATACCGATTCCTGGCACCGTTGAGTTTTGTCGTCCCGGTGGCGCAGTAGTCAAGACGTCAGTCTGACGTCTCTCTGAGCGATGGCGCAGTAGTTAAGACGTCAGTCTGGTCTCTCTGAGCGCGACAAACGCAGTGCGGTCATGATCCATCTACACGGGGGTTTGGGTTCCACTCAAGGCGCCTGGCGTTTCCCGCTCATTCGCCAGACAATGAGGAAAACCGTGGGTGGTTATGTCATGGCGTTGTATGACACGCCAAAAAAAGAGCCGGCTCCTTTTGGTTATTAGGCCGAGTCAAAATTGTCCAGCTTCGGGTCCCTTGTGTGACGGGGTCAGTGCTCCTACAACAAGCTCTGCTGATGGAGAACCCCAATCCCAGCGGGGTGGGAGCAAATCATTCCTGCGACCAAGCTGTCGGTGCAAAATAGTTTGTTTAGCGCCCTTAAGATAAAAGCTAGTGTGAAACAACCCTAAATGATATGTAACCGCGGCTAGCCAAAATGTGAATGTTAATATAGACTTCGGAAGACTTTCTTTCACTTTTGCCTTCGGCATTTTGCAATCAGTGTCCCGATATGGAACAAGATGCTGAGAAGCCAGCAGCAGACATGAAATAAGACTGCTGAGAAACCCAGCTGCAGATATGGAACAAGACTGCCGCGAAATCCAGCTGCAGATATGGAACAAGACTGCCGCGAAACCCAGTTGCAGACATGGAACAAGACTGTTGAGAAATGCCGCAGCAGATATTGAGCACGACTGCTGAGAAACTCCGCGGCAGATACTGAATAAGACTGCTGACAAACCCGGCGGTAGCCTTCTGGAACACAGGAGCGAGAACGATTTAGCCCACAACCATTGGATGGCATCGTGAATAACTTAGAGCGATTACATAATGAAATCATTATTTACGGAAGGTTGGTTATGCAGATTCCTCTCATCCAAGGACGAACAAATCCAATTATGGCACAGGCAGTGCAAACGTCGCATAAATTTTTCCAAAGTGGCAGTCGTTGATCAATAGCTTTTGCTTCCTTCTTATCATGGTATTTGGTCAAGTCAAGTCAGTCAGTAACGTGGCAAACCGTTGTCGGAACACCAAAACCTGCTTTAAGAGCAGATCTATTCGATGGGTAAGCAAAAAGGTGCTAACACAGCTGGCTGTGCCGAGACACCTCGCGCTCAAGAGCCGTGTATGACGTTACGCCGTATCCGACAATGTGGAGTGCCCTGAGAGCCATTACAGAGACGGCCATGTGGAATACAACAGGACAGTGACAATAAAACAAGTGAGCCACTGAAACCTAACGGCCCCTTGAGACTTATACGACCTTGGCTTAACCTATGAGACCGTGGTACCTCTGCTCGAGCCTAAGAATCTAGGTCTGCGCTGGACTCTAAGTCCGCTCTTTGAAGCGAGCAGCTCGTGGACTGAGCACGCTCCGCCATCTCAGACGAGCTCCTCAAGCACGAGCGAGGAGCCCTGGGGTCTAACCGACGGGGACTCAGAGCTGTGAAGAGAGCCCCGATTTGAAGACGGGGCTTCCTAGCACTACAGAGACCCTCGCATCCTGGGAGGGTCTCGAAAGCTGTAAGGAGTCAAAAAAATCGCTCAGATACCGCTGGTCTAAGCTCATAAAAAAGGATTTCGGCGGGTGATAGCGCCGCCACGGTCAGTACCGACAGTTACCATATGATTGTGATCAGGAGTTCACAAAGAGACGAGACAACAACTTGGCTTCGACAGGGCACCCGTCTAAAAACGTGTTAAAATCGTTAAGTGTCGCTGCGGTTACAACTATTCCGGGCTTCGAACCCTGTACTGATGCCTAGCGATCCGGCCCCTTGACTGCACAAGAAAGTGCCTGTCTAGAGAAGAACTCCGGAGACCCAATGATATTTTTGCAGTCTGAGAGGAGGCTCGCTGTCACATCTGAGTGTTCCCGGGGGCCTGAGCAGCACCACGTGCCGGCGCTCCTGAGAGCCTGAGCGGCACCACGTGCCGGCGCCCCCACAGGCCTGAGCGGCAACACGTGTCGGCGTTCCCGTGGTGCGTGATCACAGAACGGGTGATAGGTCGGTGCCCAGGAGTCGATCCCCAATCAAATACCCCCTCAGCCGGACGACGGAGGTCATGACATCATCGCGCCCCAATCACCCTGTCGTACCTGTCGACCAGGCGACCATTGCTAAACTTCGGACTTTTAACTTCATGTGATGGCATACGGTGCGCATGACCCCGCGTGCATCCACCCCGCTCGGCAAAAGTACGCATAAGTTTACCAGCAGGGTCTTTATGCCAAATGGAGGTGTCAACCACTTATGTTTGGGAACATATCTTAGGAACATTTAAGCTTTTAGAGGGTTTTCAGCCACCAGGCCAGATTTTTCAGTTTCCTTCCCTCGATACGGTGTCTAAAACATTGCTTACTAAATTGAAGCACTGTGCAACGAATCATGAATATGCCAGCACGACCTTCCGATACATCTTAAAACATTCCGCACATGTTAAATGAAACTGCGAGCAATAACTAACGCCACTTTAACAACATTGAGCAATGTCATTCGCCTTGACTGAAAGTCATTGTGAATCCGGTCGTCTCAAGACGGAGTCCCACACCACATGTAAACGTGGCATCGTCGCTCCCACCACGCGCCTCCAATTCCAACCCGCCTCCAGACAATGCCTGGAGGACGAGCGGCCAAACATAGTTTCCCTTTCCCACCGGTAGATGGCCACCACGGCACAAATCCTTCACAAATCACCGACTACACGGCGGAGAAACCATATTACTCGAGTTGTGATGGCACAAGAGATGATTTATCCCGACGAGAAGTAGTCGCCATTGAATGGAACTGTAACGGCCGGGCCGTTATTGCCAGCTCAGCCAGGTCGCTGGCGCGCCATCTATCGCAGCTGACAGGAGAAGGGGAGGGAGGCGGCAGCCGGTCGGGGTCAATATGGCGCGCCCACTGCCAGGCCGTCCGCCCGGCCAGTGACCCCGGCACATGCCGCCCGGCTCTCATCGGAGGGGTATGATCGCAGGCTGCGCCGTGCCGCCTCCGCCGTCCGGTACGCGGCCACGTGCGGTTAAGGGCACCCACCCACACGAGGACCAGGCGTCGTCAGAGACAATTTTGGGGCGTCAAGGATTCGCTGAAAACGCATACTCCCCGTGGATGAAGTTCAAGGATACGGGATAGCTGGAGTACAATGCGAACTTGGATAGAGATACTGGCGTTGACTCAGGCAGTCGGCACCACCTCAGTGCGTTGCATACTGCCAGCTGGGAGATGCAATCAAACATGCCATCCACAGCAAGGCATGGCAGCCGAAAGAAGACAACGAGAACAACCTAACCGTGTCGCGTCTCGGACGCCACACCTGTGTAATGTTATGGCCCCAGCGGTGACCGACCGAGGCCCGCGGCACGTGCGTCACCTGTCTTACTGAGCGGTGACCGACCGAGGTTCGCGGCCGGCGTCACCTGCCTCGCCTAGCTAACCACGCCACTAGAAGCGTAAGGCTGCCAATGTCGCCCAATTTAAGGGATTCTTTGTAAAGAGCGCCGTCGTGGCAAATGTATCCGCCTTCGTGAAATGACCAAAATACTGTGGCTTGCACGCTTCACGACCTAAGCCCTTTTTTCTCATATTTCATGTTTCAGTCTCCCCAGCGACGAAAAGCATAACTCGCATCTGTCATCTTGAGACCCGTTCCCACATAAGTCACTCTGGCCCCAAACGATAACAGATTGCATAGTGAAAGTGGTGTCATCCTGCAGCCCGCCCAGGTCGCATCATCCGCTCTAAATCGCGTACCACAAAATGCGCAATTTCTCTAAATCCAATATGAAACTGAATGACTTCATTTCGCCACGATGTGAATAGCTTTTCCTCTCCGGGGGCCCGGTCGGCAGACTTCCGCCCGTGTGTGTCTTGTACCCAAAGGCGTGAATGAACCTCATCATTTGGTGCGAGAGGCGGCCGGAAGCATTCTTCAGTGCCTGCCTCAGACGAAAGCACGCTGGTGTCACGCTTGTCACAAACATGCATTGTCGCAAGAGATCTTGTTTGGCGGATGTATTGTAATTCGCTAATTATAGCTGATGCGGGCCTGATGGGGAGCTGGTCTCTCGAGTCGTGGGTAAGGTAAGGTAAATGGGTAGATCGAAGCTGCCATAGGGTTACACGATTCTGCAGTCATAGCGCGGTTTCAACAGGTTCGCGCCGCAGTACGGTGGGTGGGTGACGGGTACGTCGGACACGCGGTGGGACGGTGCTCGCGCTGCAGTTCCATGGGTGGGTGAGGTGAGGGGTACGCTGGGTACGCGGTGGGATGGTGCTCCCGTCGGAGTCCGGTGGATGACGTGTGCGTCGGACACGCGGTGGGACGGTGCTCGCGCTGCGGTCCGATGAGTGGGTGAGGGGTACGCTGGGTACGCGGTGGGACGGTGCTCCCGTCGGAGTCCGGTGGGTGACGTGTGCGTCGGACACGCGGTGGGACGGTGCTCGCGCTGCAGTTCCATGGGTGGGTGAGGGGTACGCTGGGTACGCGGTGGGACGGTGCTCCCGTCGGAGTCCGGTGGGTGACGTGTGCGTCGGACACGCGGTGGGACGGTGCTCGCGCTGCAGTGCGATGAGTGACGGGTACGTCGGACACATGATGGAGCAGGCAGCAGTGCGCGTGCCGTTGAAGGACAGCTTGGGGCAAAAGTGAATCCTTGGCGCGAATAGCAAAGTACAGGGCAACCGCCTGGGGCCACACACAGGCAGACCGGGTTGCTAGAATGTTTACCAAGCCAACCGAAACGTGCCGAACGTGAGCGCGGCCGCTGCTGATGAAAGAACATGTGAGTCAGCGCGTGGTATGTCAGCTGTCGGATCATTCCGCTGTGATCTGCTGCGAAAACACGCCCACAAGATACGCTCGGCCTCTTGCGGCCCGTACCGCCGCTACGAGAACAGGGCCGGCCCTGCTCCGACCCAGCCCGACACACAGCAGGCCCCTGTGGCGGCGTTCCGTCCCCTCCCAACGTCACACCCTCTCACCTGGCGTTCAGGCTGCCGTGACGGCGCCCCGTCCCCTCCCAACGTCACACCCTCTCACCTGGCGTTCAGGCTGCCGTAACGGCGCCCCGTCCCCTCCCAGCTTCACACCCTCCCACCTGGCATTCAGACCCCTGTAGCGGCGCCCCGTCCCCTCCCAGCTTCACACCCTCTCACCTGGCGTTCAGACCCCTGTAGCGGCGCCCCGTCCCCTCCCAGCTTCACACCCTCTCACCTGGCGTTCAGACCCCTGTAGCGGCGCCTCGCCCCCTCCCAGCTTCACACCCTCTCACCTGGCGTTCAGACCCCTGTAGCGGCGCCCCGTCCCCTCCCAGCTTCACACCCTCTCACCTGGCGTTCAGACCCCTGTAGCGGCGCCCCGTCCCCTCCCAGCTTCACACCCTCTCACCTGGCGTTCAGACCCCTGTAGCGGCGCCCCGTCCCCTCCCAGCTTCACACCCTCTCACCTGGCGTTCTGACCCCTGTAGCGGCGCCTCGCCCCCTCCCAGCTTCACACCCTCACCTGGCGTTCAAGCTGCTGTAGCGCTGGTTGACCTGCTCCATGGTCCGCTTGATGTGGCGCGTGTCCTCGCGCTGGCAGCTGGCGATCAGCTGCTGCGTCAGCTGGCTGAATGCCTCCATGCGCTGCTTGTACTGGTGCACCTCCAGGTGCAGCGCCTGGGGACGGGAGCGCGGCGCTCAGTGACGGCGCGCAGGCAGCTGCTGCGCGACTGTGCGGGACCGGCCAGTGCCAAACACCAGGGTGACCACCGCCTGTCAATGTGCATGAAAGATGAACCCAACAAGACCCTGATTACAGGCATACGCTACAGCAAACTTAATGGCTCAAATACAACAAAATGGTAATGGACTGGTTTTCTTTTGAACAGCCAGATGAAAACTAAACTTGAATTGAACAATAAATAATAGGCATCCAAATTGACCACCAAAGGCATACAGCTAACTGAACGCGGTCCAGTGCAATCACCTGTCCATCGAAATGCCGTTACACGCGCAAGTTTCCTTACGACCAGGCGCAAAATTGCCCAAGAAGCCCAACAACTTTTAACACAAATCACCGTTATCTCTTCCGGCCAGCCTTTAGCGACGCGATGTGTCATCAACCCCAACTTCCCCCTTGCCCCCCCCCCCCCCCAAAGGAAGTAGCACTGCTGGAGCGCGCTTTTTAACTTCTGAGAGCATGTGATGAGCTGCTCTCAGCCGCTTTCCGAGACTTGTGTAACCTGCACCGCACCATTCGCGCCATTCCGCTCCTCGAGTGCCCCGGCTTTATTTAAATCCACTAGACCTCCTGCTCCAGACCTGCAACCTAATGTTCCACAGCCGCTTGTATAAAGCAAGGAATAAATACACTCCACATCATTATCAGTCATACCCCACATCATCCCAGATTTCGCATATTACACGGATGAAACACAGCACCTGGGACCCCAGCAGCCGGCTGGGACCACAACACAACCAGCGCACAGCAGAAACCGGCGTTACAGCGGCCTGGGCGGCGACACTCCACGACCCCGGCGACCTCGGAGGCCCCGAGGCCCCAACCAGGCCCTCTGCGTGGCGACAGATGGTCGGCGCACGGCGCACGTGACGACAATGGCTGCCGCCGCGGGCCGCGCCGCCCAGTCAGCGGCCAGCGACGCTCGCCGCCCGCGGCCGGCCATATTACCGCCCGCGGAATGCATGACATTAGACAGCGGCGGTGCGCACCCGCCAAATGGACCAACTTGGCGCCGGTCTTGACAACGGGCGCAGGCAATACCGGCGCTGAGTGGGCTGGCGCCGGCCGTCGCCATCCGCGTGAGGGCGCTGTCTCCGAAGACGGCCGAACGGCGACGCTTCTCATGCAAGCACCACATCGTGGCGACTTGCATGGGCTCCCGCTTAAGCTACTTTCAACATGAACACATCATGTAGATGATGGTGAGTTTGCAACTTTCGTGCTCACATCATATGCCTCAAATAGGCGAGCAATCAGGAGCACCGAGGTAGGCAGGCCGTGCAGATGTTGAATCGGACGCGGCCTCGCCACTGCTGTATGATCAGCGGGGCCTGGTCCACGCCTGGAGCGGCGGGCGGTCGGACAGCGACACCGCCGTACCAGAGCACACTGGCGGTCACGGCCCGCTGGCAGATCCGGCAGGCCGCTCATCGGAGCTCACCGCCGCTGCCGACCAGCCTCTGAGCCAGGCGGACCGGCCCGGGCCGCAGCCTCACTTGCATGGCGCCGAGCGCGGCGGGGCGGCTGGGTCGGGCTGGACCTGACCGGACTCGACCGGCGCGGAGACGGTCCGGTCCAGGCACCGGGCGGACCCCGTGCGCCTCGCTCGCGCCCCCCCCCCCCCCCCCGGCTCCGGCCAGGACGGCCACAGACCGGCCAGCGAGCGAAGGGCGGCGGGCACCGCCGGTGAGGCGGCGGCCTGGGTGGGCCGCTGGCACGGCGGTCAGGCGACGGCGGCCTCGTCCACCCCGCAGACGTAACAGGCCCACCGAGCGCAGGATGGTACCTCGGCCGCTCACGCACGGTGCGAAGCCACCCCGAACGACCACAACGCAACTACCAAGGAGGAAGAGTCATGCCAACCAGCACCCCACGCAAAGACGGAGTAATCAAGCTAGGCAGCCCGACAGAGACTGATCAGCCTTCAAAGCAGACTAACCAGCCCATCTCGGAACAGTAGCACACTTCGTCCGCCAAGTTGCGCTCTAATGACTCGGGCCCACTGTGAGCCACCGTCGGTCGAGAAGAACTACGCATACTCATCAGTCCCACCGTAATGAAGACCATCCGAACAGACGCCCCCGTGCTTGCCGAAAATGGAAGCCGGTCAATATTCCAGGAAGACGGTGTATCCCAACATTAATAAGCCAGTACCACAACTCAACATATCCCATAGGCCAGTACCTGGCGACCCGCCCATGACTAGTGGCCTATCACGTGCCCATATACTGAGCGTACGCACGCATGAACCACGTTCAACAACCAGCCGCATGTTTCAGCCACATTGGACGCAACTGCGAGCCGCGGGAGCAATCGGACACAAGTCGATACACCGCCCCAGTTTTTAGGGGGCTCGGGAGAGCACGCGGGCCGTATGGATCAGAGTTACGGACACTTCCAGGCCTTAAACAGCCGTCCGTGACGGCAGGCGTCGCACATAAATCGCGGCTCCCGCGGCTGCCACGGCGGCGGGGCTGGGACGCCCACGGCGTCGGCGCGTCCAATCGCATTACCCGCCTGACGGCCGCCGACGAGGCCGGCGCGTCCGACCCCACGCGGCGTCACCGCCTCCGCCCGTGCACCTGTGCATGCCGCGTGCGTCTCACTTCAGCGGCCCGCGAGCGGCGGCGACGCCGCGCTCCGGCTCCGGCGGTGGCAAAGAGCGGCCCGGCTGACGCCACGGGCGGGCGCAGCCGCCTCCAGCAGGCTGAACGACCCGTACCGCCCGGCCCGGGTCCGTGGTGGGTGGTGTCCGCTCACCGGACACGCGCCGCACACGGCCCCGACCTGAAGCCGTCCCCCGCGGCCGGCGACTGGCCTCTGGCGTCAGTCTCCGCTGCGGCGCGAGTCCAGAGCCCGGCGACCACATCCGCGAGTCAGCGGCCGTCCGTGATCAGTCCAGACGCCACCCTGGTGGCCGCCTCCGCTCAGGGATCGCTCCAGCGTCCAGAAGATAACGGGCCGGGTCGGTCCCAGCCCTGACTCCGTCCAGAGCCCAGAACACAACACGCCGCGTCAACCTCGACCCCTGGGTCGAGGGCCCAACCCATAGGCCGCAACCGACCGGTACCGACTGCAAGGCCAGGCCAGAGGACACCGCCTGGCGCCCATCCTAAGCGCCGCTGACGGCGCCCGCGCTGGTTCGTCGCTCGGGTGGTACGTGCTCCGATCTCGCCGGATACGGGCCGGGGCGGCGGCGGCGGCGATCGCACCTCGACCGGTCGGCTGTCGCGCGCACCAGGCATTTGATCAATCGGCCCCTGGCGAAGATCAATAGGCGCGCAGGGAGCTCGGGGAGCTCGGCCGCCGCCGCCGCCGCCGCCGCCGCCAGCGGCTAGCCGACTCGGCTCGGCTCGGCTCGGCTCGGCTCGGCTCGGCTCGGCTCGGCTCGGCTCGGCTCGGCTCGGCTCGGCTCGGCTCGGCTCGGCTCGGCTCGGCTCGGCTCGGCTCGGCTCGGCTCGGCTCGGCTCGGCTCGGCTCGGTTCGGCTCGGCTCGGCTCGGTCCGGTCCGGTCGGCCTGCGGGAGCCGGCCGCTCGGCTCCTCCGTCACGGCCGGCGCGGCGCTGCTCATCGACCCGGGCGGCGTCGCTATCTCGGCGCGCTGAAGCGCCGTCGAGCACGCCGCTCACATACGGGACGAGCCGGCCGACGTGCCAGACGCGGCCCGCGCCGCCCTCTTCCGGCGCCCCCCGTCGGCGCAGCAGCTGGACGGACGGACGCGTCTGGCTGCCGGCCGATGCTGGACATCGATTAGCGAGTGTTCAGGCCAACTAGTACCCAGGTGAGGTTGCAGGGTAACTAGTAGCCGTGGAGATCGCAGCCGGATACTATCGTCACGCAGCGGGGAGAGCTGGAGTGAACTGCTCGCCTTCGTCGGTGTGCGTGGCGCACTGCCACCAGCAGCTGTGCGTGGCTGGCTTCTGGCGGTGGCCCGGTTCGCCCAGCTGACTCGTCTCGTCCACACCGCAATGTCGGCGCCGTCAGGGCGTCCGTCAGGCCGCCCGAGCCACGCCGGGCCAAGCCGACAGCGCCAGACTGCGGTGCACCTCCCCCCACCCCCCACCCCACCCGCCGACGTGGGCCCCGGTCCCGCCGCTTCGGCCCAGCCCAGCCAGCCCAGCCCCCGGGCCAGTCAACAGCTGTCCACCCGGCGGCCAATTGTTTTCGCGCTCGGCCAGCGGAGCCGTTCGTTAAAAATGCAGCGGCGGACGGCGTCGGCGCCCGGCGTCCGAGTGCAGCGCCCACCGCTCCGGCGCGCCGCCGCTCCTCACACTGCCGTCCGACTAATTACGGCGGCAAACGCCCGCGTGGGAAGTTCGCCGATAACATGCCACAGGCAATCCAAGTTGAACAATGATGATAGCTCAGACGAAGTACTGCTCGGACGTCTCGCGGTCTTGCAATAAGGCGCCGAAGTAGGGGAATCAAGGTAGCTTCTTCTGAAGTGCACACTACATCCCGATTACAGGGCCGATACGCCAGCGGTGCCAATGGTGGCAAACTGGGTCTAGAGAACACTGGCCTGACCAAGACTTGCTGCAAATGTGTTCAAGTTCAATTATCGTCAGTGCCATGAGTGCAGCTATAATCCAAGAACAGCTTAAATGCCTGCGACAAAACGAGACCCCTGGGAGTACAGCCAAGTGTAATCCCAACACAAAATATCCCGGTCCATTACCAAATAGTGTTCCAACACGGGCCATCAGCCAGGTGATCATCATCCTCAAAGGCTCAGGGCCCCTCATCCTCCACGTGATGACATCCCCAAACCTCCCACCTCCCGGACTTTGGCGCGCCACTGATGCAGTAAGCGCCAGCGTGTTTGCTCATGGCGCCAGGCGTGACGCGTTTAATGGTCATACAAAGTCTGCCACGCCGCGGCCGGGGCTCGCGTCATCGCTGGCGACGGGACTCACCTTCTGCTCCTTGATCTGCGCCTCCAGCATGTCGGCCGTGTGGCCCATAGGCGGCAGCTGATCGACGCGCGTCTCCAGCCGGCCCAGCCAGCCGGCCAGCTCAGCCCGCGCCGCCTCCCAGCCGGCCGAGTCCAGCCGCGCTGTCTCCAGCTGGCTGAGTCGCCGGTGCACGGCCGCCTCTGTCTGGTCCCAGCCCTCTCTCAGCTGGCTCACTGTAACACACGGGTTACGGTCAGGTCAGCGGCACATGGAACCCCCCTAGTCTTATACGACCCTCGCCCGGCGATCCCCCAGTCTTACTACGGCCCTCGCCCAGCCAACTCACTTTGGTACACAGGCCATCGTCCCACGCGGCGCGCACGACACGGTGGAGTGCGGATCGGCGTCGGATGAGCCGCCTAGCCAGTGACCACCAACGGTCAGCGACCCGACCCGCACACGGCCGGCCGGCCGACGAAGGCCGTCGCTGGCGGCGCGCCAGCCGGCCCACCGGGCGAGGCGGAGGAGGCCGGGCAGGCGCCGGCGGCCCGGCCTGCTGACTCGGCGGAGTAACAGGTGCGGGCCGAGCCGCTCACGCCCCCCGCCACCGGTGGCCCCGACCTCGCTGACGTGGCCGGAGGGGCGGCGGTGACGCGCTGAGGCGGCCGATGCCCGGCCTGTGTCCTCCCCCCCCCCCCCCCTGAGGGAGCCGGGGCCCGGCCTGGTGTCCCCCCCCCCTGAGCCGGCCGATGCCCGGCCTGGTGTCCCCCCCCCCTGAGGCGGCCGATGCCCGGACCTGGTGTCCCCCCCCCCCTGAGGCGGCCGATGCCCGGCCCGGCCTGATATCCCCCCCCCCCCCTGAGACGACCGGTGCCCGGCCCGGCCTGATATCCCCCCCCCCCCCTGAGGCGGCCGATGCCCGGCCTGGTATCTCCCCCCCCCCCTGAGGGGGCCGATGCCCGGCCTGGTGTCCCCCCCCCCCCCGAGGCGGCCGATGCCCGGCCTGGTGTCCCCCCCCCCTGAGGGGGGCCGGGGCCCGGCCTGGTGTCCCCCCCCTTGAGGCGGCCGATGCCCGGCCCTGGTGTCCCCCCCCCCCCGAGGCGGCCGATGCCCGGCCTGGTGTCCCCCCCTGAGGGGGCCGGGGCCCGGCCTGGTGTCGCCATCGCTTGATGCGCTGACGGTTGCATATTTAGGAGCGTGGTGACTGCGTGGCCACTTGACACGCTCGAGAACGGTCGCGCTCGCTGAAGGCCGCACACCACATCGAGCATGCGATCAATGTCAGGGGTGGGAAGACCCGGCTGACAAGCAATTGTCCGACATAGAAACCCAGGACTCAGACTCAGACTGGCCGCACATCGCTAGCCAACAGCGGCGCAGGGACACGACGCCATACATAGCGTTGTACGCCTCTGAGCCCGCCCAGACGGGCGCCACACCGGGCCGTCTCCGTGCGAGCCGGGGCAGCGGCCGGATGCCGAGGGGCGCCAGCCTCGAGCGCGGCGGCGGAGGCCGCGGCCCGCCGACTACCCGAGCGTAGTACCGCGCCCGGCCCGCCCTGTAAGCCAGGCTAGGTGAGGTCAGCCGCAAGCAGGGTGTCGGCACGAGGCGCCGCCCGCCGGCCGTGGACACACGAGGGGACGAGCCGAGGCGCCGCCCGCCGGCCGTGGACACGCGAGGATGGGACGAGCCGAGGCGCCGCCCGCCGGCCGTGAACACACGAGGAGGGGACGAGCCGAGGCGCCGCCCGCCGGCCGTGAACACATGAGGAGGGGACGAGCCGAGGTGCCGCCCGCCGGCCGTGAGCACATGAGGAGGGGACGAGCCGAGGTGCCGCCCGCCGGCCGTGAACACATGAGGAGGGTACGAGCCGAGGTGCCGTCCGCCGGCGGTGGACACACGAGGGGACGAGCCGAGGCGCCGCCCGCCGGCCGTGAACACATGAGGGGACGAGCCGAGGCGCCGCCCGCCGGCCGTGAATACATGAGGAGGGGACGAGCCGAGGTGCCGCCCGCCGGCCGTGAACACATGATGCGGGGACGAACCGAGGCGCCGCCCCTCTTCTGTGCTGCGGCTGGCGGCGTGACAGCCAAGAGGCCGGCACCGCGGACACGTGCGCACCACACTCACGGCGCCAGCGTCTGGACGGCAGGCGACGCCCATACTGGCCAACAGCCGAACAGCCCACGTGTGTAAGCGTCACACGGCATGTTCTGAAACGCGCGCAGTCACCATCTCGACGGATGTGCTGTATCGGACGAAGTCGTCTGGCATGTTAAGTATGTGTAATAATTATACCATGTCCAAGCATCAGCTGGTGGACGACAGGCGCAAAAAAATATTTTCATGAAAATAGATCTTACGGGACCGTTCAAAGCCGGTTATTCAAACAGTATTGGGGAATCCCAAGCGTGTTGTTTACAGCAGTTTGATGTTCTTGTTTGTTTATCCGGCCTTTGAAGAACGGCAGAGCATCAGTCAAATGCTGAATGTTATCCAAACAGATCTCACTCCAGATGTTTACGACTTTCTCGGATGATAATGCCGGATTTCGATGGGGACAGTCTGCCTGAGACAGACGCGGGAAATCGCAATGCCGCCTAAGTAGGCTAGCCGACGACAACCTACTCAAAATAGCTCCTGTTGCCTTCCCCCCCCCCCCCCCCCCCCCCCCCATCGGCCCAAGTTCCACCTACGCACCACTGCGAACATCGATGTTGCTCATGAGCGCCAGACCAAGTCCCAAAAGCATGGCCGGCAGCCAGTAGCGGCCCAGCACATATCTCTCATGCTCCGAGGCCGGCTCCCACCAGTCGTCTGCAGCTGCACAGCGTCGTTTGTGCACGGCCATTCAGCTGAAAGTGGCCGCCCCCCGAGGCCCGTGAGTGGGCCGACCGTCCCCGGAGGAGCGTCACCCGCTGGCAAACACGTCCGCTGCGGCGCGCGCGCGCGGCTCTGTCCTGGAAGGAGCTTACGCACTTGAGACCGGCTGTCAAAACCACTGCAGCTGAAAGCGATACGCTGAGAACACGGCAGGCGCGCGGGCCGATCTGCCGCGCTCGACGCCGTCGATGGCATCGAACTCGGTGGCGACAGATTGAAACATCACTGGGCGACCATCGCCGTCAGGGCGTCGGTGAGAAGCGCAAACGACACGGTCAAGAGCGCGAGAGCGCGTCGTGAACGCTTCTTGCCCGGGGGAGTGAACGGTTCTTCCCCGGGGAAAAGCAGACGCCAAGAAAGCCTGCATCAGCGGTGCTATCACGCGGTAATAACTGCAAAGGAAGCATGAGCGAAACTTCAACACAAGCCGGGATGATGTGTTTTGAGTCCATTCTTCCAATGCAACGCCACATACCTGGCATTAATATTCAGCAATGTTGGGGCTGAAGTTGCACTCCACTTACATATCGAAGCTCTGCCCATGACTGGGCTAGGCTCACACCCGAGACAAGCGCCAGCTGAGTTGGCGACATGAGGCGAAGCAGCCGCAGTTGGACAGACATCAGCGCCTGGTCTCCATTCCCATACCCATCAATCCAGGCCGCAAAAGAAGGCCCATTCCATCCACAGTCAGACCGGTGGAAGTCGTCTGTGAGCAAGCTGGGCACTGGAGTCCCACAGACACCCGCCGCCGTCGGCGACAGAGGCGCTGCCGTGGGGTCCCACAGACACCCGCCGTCGGCGACAGAGGCGCTGCCGTGGGGTCCCACAGACACCCGCCGTCGGCGAGAGGCGCTGCCGTGGGGTCCCACAGACACCCGCCGTCGGCGACAGAGGCGCTGTCGTGGGGTCCCACAGACACCCGTCGTCGGCGACAGAGGCGCTGCCGTGGGGTCTCACAGACACCCGCCGCCGTTGGCGACAGAGGCGTTGCCGCGGGGTCCCACAGACACCCGCCGTCGGCGACAGAGGCTGACAGGGGCGCTGCCGTGCACCCACCATCCGCCAACACCACCATCACCTGTCACTTTGGCCGACAGGCGGTACCTGCCGGAGCGGCGCACACGCTCAACACCGCCGCGCCCATCTGCGCCCGGCGACATTTGCACATGACCTTTGGCGGATGCAGCTCGCCGAGCCCGGCGTCCCGCCGACGACCAGCCGGCCCGGACCGTCACACAGCCCCCCCCCCCTCCCCCCCCCCCCCCAGTGACGACACAACTAGCCAGCGCAGCCACAACAGTCCCAACGGCGGGCGGTCGCCACTCCGCCCGCGCCGGAGACGGGCAATGGCGTCATGCATTTCGCATGAGCCTATTACAGCGACGGCCTGACCGGCCGACGACGACCCCGTGTCGACGGCTGGCCCCCGCGATGGGCCTGTTGATCCGAACAGGATACTGACCGCGCGCGCAAGGCCCCCTGCCAGGTGTTGGCGCTTGATCCGGACGACACGCGTCATCGGCGCGCTTCCAAACGGGGGACCGGGCCGCACGCTGCCATTCGGCTTAAGCGGCGAACGGCTAATAGGATTGCATCACACTGCAACGGGCTTGGATTTCCAGCTCTGGGAAGGATCCGACTCAGCGCCAAGGGGATTGGCTTTTTGCCCCCGGTCCGTGAATAGGCAGTGGGGCGGCGCGCCGGCCGGCCAACCGTCGACATCTGCGCAGCCGACGTGCGCGCGGCAGCTGCGGCTCGGACGCCGACGCCGGCGGGAGCATCAGGCCAGCGGCGATCGCGCGTACGTCCGCTGCGTCCGCTGCGCCCGGCCGGCGCCCGGCGCCAGCGCACGGGAGCGCGCCGTCCGCGCCGGCCGGGCGGCGGCGGCCCCCGCTGACATTTCGGCTGATCTCGGCGTGCGTCTCATGACATTTATCGCCCACCTTCTGGACATTGCCACCGCGGTCACGGACTCCGTCACACGGGAAATAACGACAAATAGGTCCCTGGCGTCCCAAAGGGGAGCTCATGGTAAGCCACACGTGCTAAACGACACAGCCAATAGCACAGACACCACAGATATCAGGAGATAAAAGCGCTTGCACGCAAAGGGTCAGATACAATGATACAACCTTCCATATTTGGCCGCCTGGCTTGCCGGAGGAAGACGGCGCGGCGGTGTCCGCAGCCAACTGTGAGCAATCATGCGGCCTGAACGAGCGAGCGCAAGACACGAGGGATGAGCATTCCAGCTGGTGACCCTAACGGCCGCCGCCGCCAACCATCGACCAGTGGTCCGAGCGCGCCCCACTCCGGCCGTCAAATAAATATCCTTTTATGACTGATTCCCCTCTGACAGTTAAGTCCAGTGTGGGCATATTCATAAAACCTAACGGATCATTAGAGGCTGATTAAGCTGCAGGGCGGCACGCCAGCCGCTCTGACGTCACAGTCGCCGCCCTATTAATCGGGACTGGCGGCCGCTTTAATTGGGTCCGCCGCGTAATAACGCCGCGGGCGGCGGCGACCGCTGTCGCCGACCGACCACCAGCCCGGCCACGACCGGCCGCCGACAGAGAGCGACAGAGAGAGAGCGAGCGAGCCGACATCGACCTGCCGGCGAGCTCAGAGTCGCCGCTGCCAGCCGGGGCCCGGCCCGCCGCCGCCGGCTCCGCCCACCGCCCCGCGGCGGCGGCGACGCCACCCGACACCGGCGGGCCGGAGCTGCGCTGTCGCGCGCCGGCCCTGGACCTGGCACTGCCGTCCCTCGTGTCAGCCCACGCCACCGCACGGTCACGTCAGTCCGAGCCGGCGTGAGCTCGGGGTCAGCCGTGCCATTTCACTCGAGGCTCGCAGCGGTCCGGTGCTGGCCAGAACCAGCTGGGGGCCGGCCGACGCCGGCGGCCGGCGCCGGGCGGCGAGCCAGCACGCGCCGCTCCGTTCCGGCGGCCTGATATAGCGGCCACTTAGCTTTAACTGGCCGAATAAGTACGTCAGCGTGAGCGACGGCTGGCGGCGCGGATCCCGGGATGGGCTGCGCCGGCCGGCCGACCGGGCGCGGCTGAGCGACGAGCCCGAGGCCAGGACAGCAGCCGGGTCAGGCCGGGTCAGCGCCCGGCGCCCAGCACCTACTCCGAAGAGCGCCAGCTGGCCGGTCTGGCTCAGGCAGCCGGGTGACCGGGTGCCAGCTAGGCGTTAGCAAGATCACGTGCCAAAAACTAGGCGTGCTGTTGGAGTGCGATGAAATCGTGGATAACAACGAAAATGCAAATGTCCTCAGGTGGCTAATGGCGCATGCGTCATTAAACATTTGTCTCATTTCCGACGGCTGTGGGCGTCCCCACATTATGCAGCCCGAGTATCGGATTACATTTGGAATTTCATCCAGCTCGTCAGGCTCGACACCAGTAAAATTGGGTGATTCGCCCGTCCAATTCCTGGCGGGGTGCTCAGCCCGACTGACAACACGTTTAACTCCGCCACACCCCGCGGCTGCTGGCCCATGACGCGGCGGCACCGCGGTCCGCCGCGGCCGCCGGAATTTCCGGCGCCGAATCCCAGCTGGCGGCCCCGTAATCAGGCGCCGAACAGGCTATCAGCGCGGCGCACCGACACGGACGCCGGCTCTGGTCCGGCGACGGCTCCATCAGCGACATCTGGGACGCCGACCCACCCCCAGCCCGCCGCCGCCCCCGCTGCCGGCCGCGCTGCTATCAGTGCCCGACGCTCTCGCCGCGAAGGGCTATCGGGGGGGATAAAGTGGCGCCAACTTCCCGTGTATCGACCGGGGTGGGCGGCCGCCGGCGCAGCGGCCACCGCCGGCGGACGAGCCGTGTTTCTCCCGCCCGCCGCCGCTCCTCAGTATTCTGGCCACGGATTACCGGGTGGAAATGGTAACGTTGTTATTACCGGCGCGGCCGCTTCATAAACAGCGGCAGCGGCGCGAGACGTCGGCGGCAGGCCGGAAGGGAGGCGGGGAGGCGGCACCGGAAGGAGGACGACAGGGGTCAGGTCGGATCGCACGGGCGGAGACGCAAGCCAGCCGGTGACCCGACCAGGGTGGCGACCCTGCCGAGGACCACACAGGGAGGATAAGCCATGGATGCATCCGTAGTCAAACTACACCGTGCGGCCACGACGAAATCGAGATCAATCACGAACGCTGACATTAGCAAATCCGGCATTGTCAAACGAGGGTGGAACTAATTGCATACGTACGTCTAGAAGCGTTTACGTTCCTCCCTAACATTTCTGAGCTTTAACATGGGCACAGCCTTTGTTTAGCAGCGATTGACTTCAAACTATCAGTCATCAGAAACCTCCGAGTAGAGAGAAGAATGTCTACCTGCGATATCAAGCTCGGGTTACAGACATCCTCGATCCTTTTGTCGACAGCGTTGAGCCTAGCCAACCTGTTTGTCGCTGACACCAGGTGTTTGATGCCGCTGATGCGCTGCAGGTGTGGCAGCCTTCCACCACAACCTAACCCCACGGGTCTGAGATGAGCGGCAAGGGAGATACCACATATGCCGCGTTGGGAGATGTAATTTGACTGGCACATCAGCTTGCTACTTGCCAGTCTAGAAGCTCAGCCCGGGCCTGAATATTTCATGGCCGGAATCTACTGAATGGCAGCACAACGTGAGCTGCTTAAGCTGCGGCGGCGGGGGCGATTACGTAATGCACTGTATGAAGCGCAGGCAGCTGGCACGGTGACTCTCCCGTGTACCGTGAGACAGGCAGCTGGCACGGTGACTCTCCCGTGTACTGTGAGACAGCCACCTGCTATGGCGACTCTCCCGTGTGCTGTGAGACAGGCAGCTGGTACGGTGACTCTCCCGTGTACTGTGAGACAGCCACCTGCTATGGCGACTCTCCCGTGTACTGTGAGACAGCCACCTGCTATGGCGACTCTCCCGTATACTGTGAGACAGCCATCTGCTATGGCGACTCTCCCGTGTACTGTGAGACAGGCAGCTGGCACGGTGACTCTCCCGTGCACTGTGAGACAGCCACCTGGTATGATGACTCTCCCGTGTACTATGAGACAGCCACCTGGTATGGTAACTCTCCCGTGAACCGTGAGACAGCCACCTCGTATGGTAACTCTCCCGTGCACTGTGAGACAGCAACCTGGTATGGTGACTCTCCCGTGAACTGTGAGACAGACACCTGGTATGGTGACTCTCCCATGTATTGTGAGACAGGCAGCTGGTACGGTGACCCTCCCGTGTACTGTGGGACAGGCATCTGGTACGGTGACTCTCCCGTGTATTATGAGACAGGTCGGGAAATGCAAAAGCTTCATCACATGCTCGAGGCCCCAGCAGTCTCACTTCCCAGAGTCTCCAGCTCTTCTCCATAGTCCAGGTCTCGTCCTCACGGTTGACATGTCGTGCCATAGCTTAGACCATACGGCCGACAGCCCGCACCTCCACCGACAGCTAAAACCACCCTTCACCTCACTCCCAGAGACCCCAGTCGCCCCACGGCCACCAGGAGGTCCTGACAGTTCGGGTCGCGTCTCCCAGTTCATCTCCAGAGCTTGACCTGAGAGGTCACCCCACGTCCCCATGGCTCAGGTCCCAGTCCGCAGTCTCAGAGGCGGATCTCGTCCGCACAGTTCAGAGCTTGACCTGAGAGGTCACCCCACGTCCCCAGGGCTCAGGTCCCAGTCCGCAGTCTCAGAGGCGGATCTCGTCCGCATCAGTTCAGAGCTTGACCTGAGAGGTCACCCCACGTCCCCAGGGCTCAGGTGCCAGTCCGCAGTCTCAGAGGCGGATCTCGTCCGCACAGTTCAGAGCTTGTCCTGAGAGGTCACCCCACGTCCCCAGGGCTCAGGTGCCAGTCCGCAGTCTCAGGGGCGGATCTCGTCCGCTCAGTTCAGGACGCCACAGCATGGTTCAGACCTCGTCACCATAGCACTCACTCGCTTTATTCACTGTTTTTATATTTATAGTCCATACCCCTTCACAACCAGATCGGATCCCTCGCTCATAGCCTCCCCATAGGTATATCAGGACCTGGAGGAGGATATTACGTATCCCAAAAGTAGTATACCCCAAAAAATTACGTGGCCCAATAGTTTCTAACAGAAAGATGCCAGGATTCCAAAGGTAGATCCAAGATCCCATAAAAACATGTTTTGTACTATACGACCCCAAGATCTTTTTTGGGCCTTCACACATGTCTGGTTTCTTCATTTCCGGTTCGCCGCCCCACCATCCACAGCTCATCCTGACAGCTTCCAGCAAAGGCATTGTCCCACTGCTGTCCCCCGCCCCCGACAGTGGCCGGCAGTGACCGCCCTGCAGATGGGACCGCTGCCCGACGGCCGGCGGCCAGCGGTCAGCGGCCAGTGCCCTGGACCTGGCCGGCCGGGCCGGACCAGCGCCCTGGGTGGCCGCCGGTCGCCTCGGGCCAGTGCCCTGGACCTGGCCGGCCGGGCCGGACCAGCGTCTTGGGTGGCCGCCGGTCGCCCCGAGCCGCTCCACCGACCTTTAGTGTGCACCTGCTGCCGGTTGGAGTCGTCCTTCAGTCCGTCGGCGGAGTTGACCAGATCACTCAGCTGGGGCTTGCGCGACTCCAGCTCGCGTAACACGTTCTGCGGGACGGGAAAACGGTCAGGGCACGGTCACGTGACGGCCACCTGACCATGAACACCATAATCAGGCAAAGGCGACGAAGGTGCAACGTTCCCCAGCATACCCAACGCGTTTATAAAAACTGACCACTGAGTGAATCTATGGAATGGCGTCTAGGCTGAAAAAAACTCCCCAAGAGCATGGGAGTGGTAAACACTGGTCAATGAATCTGGACTATCAGTTAATTTTAAAAGCGCAAACAATGATTAAATGACTGAGTAGACAAACTCGTCTTGAAATGAATCGTTGGCAGTGCGATTTAGCAGCAGCGATTATCAGAGGAACGCCACAGTCGGCGTTCCACCCACGACGTGCGGGTGAAGCATAATGAGTGTCGTCGGGAGGCCTTCCAACCCTGGCGTGTCCACAGTGTCCACAGTCGCCAGCCATCAGCGGCCGACGTGCGGCGAACTGTAGCAGACTGAGCCAAACACCCACAGAGGAGACATCTGTAGCAGCCGCCGGCCGGGCCCCATATCCCGCCAGACTACCGACGAATATCGCACAGAAAACCCCGGCCGCCGAGACGATTTATGAGCCCTGGGGCGATTCCGTCGCCCGGTTTGAGGCGGTGCAGACATCGGAGCGTCCGCAGGCTGAACACCAGCCGGGGAAGCGGTCTGAGATCGGCCCCACAACAGCACACTTGGGAGGCATCCGGCGATGGCAAGGACTGGCGTCCGACCGGCATCCGGCGACGGCAAGGACTAGCATGACGGGCATCCAGCGACGGCAAGGACTGGTATCCGACCGGCATCCGGCGACGACAAGGACTAGCATCCGACCGGCATCCGGCGACGGCAAGGACTGGCATCCGGCCGGCATCCGGCGACGGAGAGGACTAGCATCCCACCGGCATCCGGCGACGGCAAGGACTGGTATCCGACCGGCATCCGGCGACGGCAAGGACTGGTATCCGACCGGCATCCGGCGACGGCAAGGACTGGCATCCGACCGGCATCCGGTGACGGCAAGGACTGGTATCCGACCGGCATCCGGCGACGGCGAGGACTGGCATCCGACGGGCATCCGGCGACGGCAGGGAATCAACCCACGGCTTCATTACAACGTACAGCATGGCAGAGATCACCAGCACTCAGCAGTACAAGGCGGCAAGCGGCTGCTGAACGCGACAGCATGTCACGGAACATGTGTGGTAATTTGGCAGCGGCACCACCAGCAGCATACTCTTGAACATGAGTCTGTCGCTGCGACACCAGTTTGACACGTTCTGCTTCCGGAGGGGATAGCGTGAATGTACAACGGTGATCCAGCATTGATGGCATATCCGTTTCTCTACCGTCGTTCTACGCACTAACTTTGACAGCAGTAGGTCTGAGGCAACGTCGATTTGAGGAGGTGGTAACAGTCCGTCTCCCGCAACTCCCAAACTCCCACAACTCACAAAACTCCCACAACCTGAACACGGGCGCCAGGAAATCTGTAAACTCGAGACGCCAAGGCAGCACTGGTGGGGACGATGCAACATGCAGTGGTCATGCCCTGTCTACCGCGCACGCGCGCCGCCAGCCACTGACCCAAGCAATTCCACAGCGCCCTGAATATGCTGGCCCTCCTCATGCCGATTAGCTACGATCTGACGTCCTGATTCCGATTCATGATAGACCATGGTTTCGACATAATAGCCGATGGTTTGACAAACTAGCACATGGTTTCGCTATCATATACCATGGTTTCGAACGTAATAGCACATGCTTTCGACATAAGAGCCCGTGGTTTCGACGGACAGCGAGCTAATTTTGAAAACTGAAAAGTCCCTTCAAATCAAACCGATTCGACATTTTTCCTTCCACACCCCGTCAAAACACTGTTCGGGCAGTCACAGTACGCCCACCGCAAGCGCCTCGTCAGCCCATGTCCGGCTGTATCGGAGTCGAGGGAACCTGTTGCCCAGGAGCGCGGCGGCCCGTCCTCGCCGGTGGTATAACTCGGCACCGGAGCCCCCCCCCCCCCCCCCCCCAGCAGTATTGGGCACGGGGGGCGCGCTGTCTGCATGTGGGTCATTGGGGCTTTACGACACGCTCAGCTGCTGAAGCTATATGGCGTCGCCCGTCTGGCAGGAAGGGAGGCCAACGCGGGGAATCGAACGGAAGCCGAGTTGACACGACATCGCACAGATCGATAATGCATGGGAGTGACGACGATCAGTTATTTTCACTGCCAAGTGAAAAACACGGATGCCTTAACAACGGTAAATGAGGTCCACGCTTCAGCTAGCCTATGACAAAGGCATTGTGGCTCTTCAAACGCATCCAATTTAATAGCGATATTCACGATCTAAACAACACGATCCAAGGTCTGCGGGAGCACCGGAGCGGTGCTCCTGAGCGGAGCGGAGCGGAACTTACCAAATGCCTACACAAAACTAATTTTTCAGCTATCACGCTTGGCACATTCTGTTTCTCACGCCGCGGCTACACCACACGTCTCCATACGGCAGACAGTCCCTGGCCCGCAGCAGGCGGGACGGCCGCTGCTGATGACTGCCGTGCATCTGATTTTGGGAACGTAAGACTGACAATGGAACGAGCTTGCTAGCCAGCTGGTAATTCAGGACAAGCACAACAGCCTTCTGCAATCGGTGCGAAATTAAAAAAACAACTACCACAAACGTTATGTAATACGATCAATAACTTGAAACTCTTAAAAATATGCCACGCTGGATAGATAAAACACACCTAGGGAGCTCCACTGATGAGACGAAGAGCCCCGATCTTCCCACACCATCCGACGAAAATCCTTCACTGATCTGGGTTTCCGTGCCAAGCAAGGTGCTACAATGAAGCCCGAAATCGACGGACACGCATCGACGTTCAAGACGGCCGACACGACGCCGTCCAAATCAGTGAACGATTGGCCGCGGAGCTGGAGCTGAGCGTCCAAGACCGCCCAAATCAGTGAGCGATTGGTCGCGGGAGCTGGAGCTGAGCGTTCAAGACGACCGACCCGACGCCGTCCAAATAAGAAAACAATTGGTCGTGGAGCTGGAGCTGAGCGTTCAAGACGGCCAACCCGACGCCGTCCAAATCAGGGAACGATAGACCGCGGAGCTGGAGCTAAGCGTCCAAGACGACCGACCCGACGCCGTCCAAGTCAGGGAACGATAGGCCGAAGAGCTGGAGCTGAGCGTCCAGCCGCTGATTAAATATACATCACTGCTGGCCAGCTCAAGCCTGGCGCGGCCCACCCTCCCCGCACGCAACACGGCGCACCGGGCAACAACACGGCGAAAACAATCCACGCTGACAGACGCGCGCCGACCAAAGCCGGCGACGGTCGGACGCCGAGCAGCCCCGACGGAGTGAAGGACATGCAGGCTAACGGGCCGCGACAAACGCTGCTGCCTCTATGGAGGGTCCAGTAATCCCTGATAAACAGCTGCGCAAACCAGCAGTACAGTGGCCGTCGATGCGCTTTCGAAAACGAGCGGCGAAAAAGCAGCAAATGCGTCGCGCTGCACACAAAACACGACATCGACCGACCGACGCGACTGACGCGAAGGCAGACAGAGTCGTACCGACAGCAAACACAGCGACAGGAAGATCACGTTATAGAAGAAAACACGGAAAAAGAATGACTTTGCGACATCAAGAGGGCATTGGGCGATAACTGAGCGGCAGGCGGCACCAGGCCGCGGCGGTCCAGCGTGCTATCAGACCAATCGCCGGTGCACCGCGGGCCGCCCTCACGCCCGTTCCATCTGCTCTGGGACGGCCCCTGGCACGCCTGTTGACCGCCCTCAGCGAATTCACAGCCGTAGACAGGCCGGCCGACAACCTCCAGTTAACCTGCCACATACGCCCTGCTGGAGCGGCGCGCGCTCCACTGCGCCTGCTGCGCCCCAGACCCCGGCCCGGCGGCGGCGGCGCCATCCAGGGCAGGCCCTGTCGTCGGGCCACCACAGGTGCACAGGTACGACGGGGGCCGCGCTGGCGGGCAGACTCACGCCATACTGGGCAGCAGCGGCGGCGGCGGCGGCGGCGGCGGCGGCGGGCGGCGCGGCGCGCTGCTGGCCGCCGCCGCCGGCCGGCCCGTTGGCCGGGCCGCGCTGCCACATGGCGCTCGGCGTCGGCGACTCCCGGCCGGCGGCGATCGATGTGCTCAGGTGCGGCCGCCGCCGCTCTCCGCCACGCTCGCGGCGGCCGACGCACCCGGGCGCGCGCGGCCGCGCCGGCTCGGCCCGCTACACTGCCGCCGCCGCCGCCGTCGCCACCCGCCGCCGCCGCCGCCGCCAGACTGCGCGTCGGCTCCCGTATCGACGTGCGTCGTCGCCGTCGTCGGCGGCGGCGGCACGAGGACGGTGGCCGACGTCACCGCTTTCCCACGCGAGCGGCCGCCGGTCCGGCTGCCTGCTCACTCCGCGCCGCCGAGCAGGGCCGCGGCCGACCGCAGGTGCGCGACCGAAGCGGGGCCGCACGGCCGGCACCAGCGGCGCATCGATTCGGACGCGGCCGAGACTCCGTCTCCTCCTCCGACCCCGCCGCCGGCGGCGGTCAATCGCGCCGGCTCGGGTACCGCACCGGTGATTGCCTGACGGACGGGTCAGAGCGCCGCCGCCGGGCCGCGCCGCCACCTCTCGGGGGCACGCCGCGGCTCATCGGCGTCGGCTCATGGCTGCATCGATCATCGCCGACTGTGATCTCGTGACGACGCTGACGCTGATGGACGGCGCCGTCAGCCACATCGCCAGCAGGAGACGGTCAGACGTAGACGGAGCTGAACGGGCCGCGCCAGCCGGGCCAGCCCGCTCCACGGCGCAGGCTCAAAACGAATCTCCTCTTAACGCCAGCCTGGCGCTCCATTAATCACGCATCGGGGGTGCTCGTTTCGTCCACACGATCGGGTGTGCTCCCCAAAGCGACCGCATCTGAGCGAAGCATTCCACCAGACGGCCTCGGCCGAAACGGGCCGCCGGGCTGAGCGCTGGCCACGTGTACGG